TGTTTATTCTAGTCCTATATGACTAGACAAGATGTGCTGGGAATTCAGGGGTTGCAGGGACCAGCTGGGGTGGGTGATGACAGGCTTAATTGGTTTCTGTTTGTGAGGCAGAGCTGGTGAAAGTCACAGCACAGGGAAGGCTGCAGAAGCAGTCATGCTGCTTTCCCCGGTTCACCAGAACCGTGAACATGCATGGATGTTTTCTTACCATGGCAGCGTTGGGACAAAAAGTAAATGAAAACCGCAGGAGTGCAAGGTGAGGCCAGATGTAGATGTTAGATAAGTCAAGCTATGCTGTACTCACACATGCTCATGTGTGCTCGCATGCACTCTTGTTCATATTGGGCTACTGTGCTGAGGAGGAAGCTCAGGTTAGAGTTTAGGATTAGCATGCATTGGGCCCAACCAACATACCAAATGGGGGAGGGGAGATAAAATAGAGGATGTTTTGTATCTAGGCTTATTCTGAGAAAATTATATTTTGAAATCACCAAAAATAGCCGAATGCTCAGCAATTGTGGGGCTGCTTTGGCGTTTCAAAGCCTGGATTATCTCAGGGATGGCACTCTAATATTTATTCTAGAAACACAAAATGTTCAAAGAGGACTGATTATTTTAGCAGATTCTCAATACTAATATATTGTTGTTTACTTTTAACAGAGTCAAATTTTAATATTACCCTGTTTTGTTTTGTTTTGTTTTTTCATAGAAAATTTACACTTAAGAAAAAACTAGTCATGCTCCTATCTGGTCCCAGGTTGCTCTGATATTGTCTGTTGCCCTCTGTGAGGGATAAATGCCTGCCACACTCATGCAAAATGAGGTCATGAGCACATTACATTTCTAATGGAGCAACCTTAAAGAAACAGACCCCAGCACTATGGAAAACTGGACCTACCTGTGCCTGCACTGTGAACCCAAGAATACAAGGTCTCAGGTAGCCCAGGCTATGTAGTCATGTCACTTTCAACTTGCTTTGGGTTTGTTTGTGATTCAGGAAATCAAGCACAAATTTTAAATCTCAGAAGCTACCTGGAGAAGAAAAGAAAAGAAAAAAGGCATGTTGAGTTAAGCTGATGTGGAGGTCAGTGATATGGTAGGAAAGGAAACTTTGGAGAAAGGGTGGGGAGGCCTCAGGTACCAGACAAAGCAGTCTGGCCTTTCTATGTAGCTGAGAATGACTTTGAGCTCATGATTCTCCTTTTAACTCCCCAATTCTAGAATTATAGGGGTATGACACCATGCCTGGCTCAAAAGTTTTTGAAAGGGAAACTGAATAAATAAAAACCTTACTGAAAAAGTATACTATGACCATCAAAGTTGTCCTTCAGAAATTAGTAAGAAATAAAGTCTGAGATAAGTGAAAGCTGAAAGTCTTCATCACCACCAGACCCACTTGCAAGCAATGCTTATTTGGATTATAATACATCATGCTTCTTTTATTGTGTAATGACTTTATTCTAGGGATATGAGCTAGACCCACTTTTCAGCTCAAATTCACAAATTTAGTCCAACATGACCAAACAGATTATATTATTTAGGGGTATAGAATTAAAATCAAACCCAACTCTTGTGTTTGTCTTTTATCACAGACCATGTCACTTTCAACTTGCTTTGGGTTTGTTTGTGATTCAGGAAATCAAGCACAAATTTTAAATCTCAGAAGCTACCTGGAGAAAAAAAGAAAAGAAAAAAGGCATGTTGAGTTAAGCTGATGTGGAGGTCAGCCATGTGGTAGGAAAGGAAACTTTGGAGAAAGGGTGGGGAGGCCTCAGGTACCAGACAAAGCAGTCTGGCCAGCATGTGAAGAAAGAGAGAAGAAAAAGGACAAGTTGTACCTTTCTGAATCAGAGTTCAGAAAGATGAGCATATCCAACAGGACCTAATGGCAGCTTGTAGGGACTAGATTCTGCAAAGCATTTCTTTTGTTCAGCTGAGACTGGATCATTTTCTGCTTCCCTGTGGTGCCCCTAGCCAAATCTCTAACATCAGCTTTGACCCAGAGCTGAGCATGGCCCTCAGTTGTTTTTGTTTTTTTGTTTGTTTTACATTACAGTTATCTGAGCTGTTATTAATGGTACTGGCTGCACATAACTACCTGGCAGACAGCTATTCTATGGCCTTTTTATTTCTTAAGCTAGAATTAAATTTGCACCAAGAATCATTTGAAGTTCAGTGAAATTGTGGCTAACACTTTAAATTGCCTTGTGACTATTTTTAGCAATGGTATATAGAAGAGCCTTGATTGTTCTAGAAATAAAGCTTAAAGTTTGCTGTGAATTCAAGTAGTGGTAGTTCTAGTAAAGCTAGTTATTGCTGTGAATAGAACAAAATAGCAAACAACAAAGAAACCGTGTGGGAGGAAAACTGCCAGTGCCTTCATTTCCTTTCTGAAGGATAGGCAGACACAGTCCACTTCCCTCTGTCTGTTCTTCAAACATCTTCCTCCACTGCCTCTTCAACTCCCAGTGGATGGAGAAGAACTGCTTTTTAAGGCAAGAAGAGAGAGGCATTGGAGACGTGGGCCAGGCACATGCCACTGACTTCTACTTAAAGAAGATTTGCCCATTTTCTTTAAGGATGCTAATTTGTTCTCAAAAACTTTTGAAATTTTGTACAAGTACTTTGCTATTTACCTAGATAGCTGCTGACATTTTAATTTCATTACTTGGGAATTTATAACATGTTATCTGTGTGCACATCAAAATTGTGCAGTAGTTCCTTAGGGCTGATCCTCTTGTTGCCCGGCTTCCAAGGAGCATCTGGACCCAGCACAGCCTGCAGAACACAACACCATCCACTCCAGAGACTATAGGAAGTGGCTGCTTCTCCAAGATGGAAGTTCTGGTGGCGTGTGAGCTGATTTAGAACAGGAAATATGTTGAATCAGACATGCAAAGCTCATGGCCTAAGATAAGTTTTAATAAAGCAGACTTCCTTTCAGTCAAATTATTATTCTTATTCCATGCAAGATGCATTAAGAGGAATTGCTTTGGTGCATAGTCAGCCCGACCTAGCATTCTTTGTCATCTAATGAATCTCCAGTCCTGGTGAGAATACACTGCATCCAGAACAGTCAGTGCAGGGAACAGGTACCCCTGTTGGCAGAGCAGGAGAGAACATTTGGGGCTTAGTTTAGTATGTAAATACAGGTTTCATGGCAGAAAGTAGGCATTACTCAGGTAAAAGGAATGACATGGAATGGGGATGCAGGCATGGGCACATGTAGCACAGGGGTACAGGTGTGGTGAGGCTGGAGGGAACAGATGTGAGCATAGCACAGCACAGGGTGCAGAAGAAAATGGATAGCATATATGGAGATCCAAGTGCAAGCATGGCCTAGCACAGGCATATAGATGTGGGCGTGGCTGAGCACCAGCTCCTGCCCTCTCTACTTACTCCCTGAGGTACTCCCTTGGTGTCAGTTTGTGGCTTCTGGCCATCCTGGGGACAAAATAAACCTCCTCAATATGTTTCTGACAGAAGACATACACTCAATCCCCTGAAAACTCATACACAACCTGTAAATACTTTTACCATTATGTGTGCAATATCTTTTGATGGACTTTGATTCCCTGAAAATTTGTGGGTTTGATGCTCTTGTAGACCACATCCCTTAGATCTCTCCTGTGTGCCAGAGGATCAATGACTCTCATTGAACCTCGTCCCACTCTGGTACATCTGAAGATGAATGCTATGCAAAGACTTGAGAAAGAACCAGAAACAGGGAGGTTGAGATGGTGAGGGATGAGGATGGTGACAGAGGCAGTAAGGACAGAGGGAAAGAGAATTCTGAGCATCAGGAGTGAACAGAAGGGAGATCTGGCTACAACAAGGGATGGTCTGCAGCAGCTTGTCTATGATAAGACTCAGTGAGATGAGAACATCATGTGGATTACTTAACATCCTTGCTTTAAAATTCAGGCATATGGAGGATATGTTTCATTTTCAATATGATTTAATGTTGTTAATAAATAGAAATAGCATTGACAATTGTCATTATCTCTACATATGATGTGTTTTTTGGTTGGTTGGTTTTTGTGGGGAAAGGGTCTCATGGTGTAGCCCTGGCTGTCCTGGAACTCACTATTAAAACCAGGCTGACCTGATAGACATCTACCTGCATCTGTCTCATGAGTGCTGGGATTAAAGGCATGAGCTACCACATCCAGCTGTACATACGGTTTAAAGAGCTTTCCAGTCTTTTAAAAAGTTATTCTTTTCCAGTATTTAATGAAAGACCTTTGAAAATTCAAACAAACTCATAAACAGACTTTCCTCTCGCCCTGTGTAAAAGAGAAATGCCTTACTTGGTGTAGCTTTGTTCAGTCATGTTGTGTTATCTCTTCAGTGGCGGGGGAGACATTGAGTGAAAATGTGTGAGATTCCATTCAGCTTTATGATGCAGTCCTTCCTGCTTTAATGACAGCAATCTGTGCACATCCGTGTGGAGGAGAGGGAGATGCTGAATAGCTTCTGAAATTTCTCATTTATTGTCTGTGTTGACTTAATGAAAAGTGTGAACCAAACTTTCCACATACTTCAATCAAATCTATCATTAGAGGAAGTGGTGTTTGTGTTTCACATCACAGATCTCTTAAGGTACTTAAAATTGGTCATCAGCTTAGCTCACTGGTGTCTTATATTTTCCCATACCCACATACACTCATGACTATATACATATACACACAGACCCATACACATACAACATATACATAGCACAGACTGACACACATAGTCATGCACACGCATGTACATGAATACACATTCCACAAGCATGCACACAACACACACACTTTCATCACTGTTATCTTCCAGTCATACTAACATTGATAGGCACGCATACCAGAGCATACATATTTGGGCACATGTGCACAAACATATGCAGATATTGAATTACATGGTGTCAGTTCATGCAAATACAATGTCGATTAAAGACTGCTGTGAAGAAAGGTTGCTAAGATCCCCTTAACAATGTTGCTGCTTTTGCAACCCTGCAGCTGACCAGACAGAGATGTTGTTCATAGGAGATGCTGTACTGCAGGTCAGTACCTTAAACTTTAATCCTTAACTCTATTGCATCTTTAAATTTTAAACTTATTCCAATCAGTCATTATCCTCAAAATTCTTCATTTGTCATTGTTCAGGTGAATGGCATTAATGTAGAAAATGCAACCCATGAAGAAGTGGTAAGTCTTACATGGGGGGAGGGCTCTATTTTTTTGTGTTACTTTCTTCTAAATATTTTTTTCTATTAGCCTACATGTATCTGAAGGTGTTCATAGACACAGTCTTAGAATTGGAAAGGAGCGCTTGAGTTACCTAATTACAGCACACCAGGGACCTTCAGGTCATCACAAGCACTGAAGAAAACACATCAGACTTTTTTGAATTTTAAATTTAAGGGCACAGAAATCCAGGAAGCATTTGACTTACTGCATTGCCTAGAGGGTCACATCAAGTCATAAAGCAGAATTTGCCAGGCATCCCTCAAGGTCTTTCTAGTGCCACATAGACCCTCACTGCACAATAGTCTTCAGTTTGACACATTGGCTCACCCCAGCATCTTAGTGTGTAAAATGTATAATGTGGAGGGGTCAGCTGACAGGCATGTTTGGTGGTTGCTTAAGATGATGTGAGTCAAAGGTATTTGTAAGCAGTTCACCCCGAGAAAATGGACTCAGATCATGTTGGGTTAAAAGGACAAAGAAGGATGAAAGAGAAACCTCATCTTGAAGCATCAAGTTTAAAGTTTGGGCAGAGAGAGAACCCACAGTGCAGCCATTCAGAGAACCTGGTGCCATGGAGCCTGTGTAATAAGGGCCCTTGTTGCCTTGCCTGTGAGAGAGGGAGCACATATGGAGATACCATTAAAGTTGGATCTTGAGAAACAAGGTGGAGGAGGAGGGGAGGGAGGTACTGACAGAGCAGGCCACGTTTACAGGGGCTGAGCAGGAATAAGATGTGAGAATAGAGCAAGGAGGAGACTTACTGAAACAAGAGGCAGGCATGAGATTGGAGGAGACCCCCTAAGGGTCCCTTTCAGGTCTCATTCTGTGTTGCAGTAAAACTTAGATAGGCTTTTAATTAGTTAGCATTCCCTAATGGGCATTTTTTTTTCATTCATCCTTTCACTCATCAGTGCTTTTTTGGTAAGTCAACTCTATTCTAGATTAAAGTAAAGTCCCCTCACTGCCCAGAGCTGAATTCACATGAAACCAGATGAGTAGAGTGATTTGTACGCAAATGAAGACCTGCTCAGCACAAGCAACTAATTTATTTATTAATTCCTCACTCAGGGCATATATATTGCTGTTACCTGTTCACCAGGCTAGAGCAGAGTCACAAATGGACAGACATGTTTCTTGGTCTCTAGAGATGTACAGTTGGGCATTAGAATCAGCTATGGGAAGCAAACTCATTACTGGCTTTCCAGACTTAGTAATGAATACTACTGTTTGTCTTCTGCAAAGTATGATTTTTTTAATGGTAAGAAGACATATTATAATTGAAAAAAAGGCTATGCATTTTTTAACACTAGCAGTATTGTAAATAAAATTAAAAGTATTTACCCAAAAAACAATTTCTTGAGTAAATGCCATATAGATTTTATAAATGTTGTTATACCCTAAAAGTATTTAACACTAATATACTTTTATCAAATGTTATGTCTACATTATTTTGTGATACAAAATAAATTAGAGGAGCACTGTTAATTATATATGTAATCTTAATTTGCCAGGATCATAAATTTCATAGATATGTTCCATTTGTAAAAGACCTCATATATTGCAGAGTTTTACCCCCTCAATCTTATAGTAAACTCTAGTTTTAGTTCTTAAAGGAAAAGTACCAGTTATGCTCAGAGAAAAGAGTCTTTCTAACATAACTCTATCTGCAAGGTGAATCTTAGTCTACTGATTTGAAAAATCTATGAATTGAGGTTGGCAAAAGTTTTAAACATATAAATATATGATTTAATAGTTTCTCTTTTTAGCACAACTGTGGGCTTCTGTTATAGTGCTGTATAGTATTATAGAAGCTGTGGGAGACAGCAAGTTGTCCATATTCTCATTGTACAGATTCTGAGCTGTGTGGCCACTCAGAGAAAGAAAATAGATGGTTGTTATCATCCAGGCTTACATCCATTTTAAAGCATTTGTGTTACATATGTTACACAGTTTTTTTTTATTCATCAACTCAAAATAAATTTTAAAGAATTATAATAAAATGAGCTGATGTTTTCTTGAAGAATGTAAATAGAAGAAAATAAGTAATAAAAATTAAACCAGACGTTATTGAAATGGAACACAGGAAATGGTGAGAAAATTTGAAGAAAAAAAAAAAGAAGGAAGCTTGTGCACAGGAACTGTCAATCACACAGCCATGTTTCTCACCATTACTCCGGCTGTAATCAAGATAACTGGATGCTTTAAATATCTTACAACTGCTTAGGGAGACTTGGATCTAGATACAGATCCTTCGAGGCAGCTACTAACACAGAAAAGACTTCATTTCAGTCACAACTATTATGGCTGCTACACAGTTAACAACTTCAGGAGACTCTGCTTAAGTCATGGCTACTTTAGATACCCTGCCATGGCTATTTGATTTAGCCATAACAGTTTCCAAAGACCCTGGGATAGCCCAGTCACACTACATACACATTGCTCCAGTGTTTTCCCCGTAGCTGTTCCCAGTCTGGGGGTGAAGAATCCCTCCCCAACTCATGACTGCTAATGGGCATGTGTGATTGACTGTATAAACAGTAATCCTCTCACCTCTCATGGTAGCAGTCCAACAGATCTCCCCTCTGTACACTGCCCCCCAGTGCTGTACTCTATCCCGACTGGAGTCTTGATGATGGGTAGGCTAAGCTGAGCTGATAACAGGAAGAAGAGACAGTGTTCAGGCTTCCAGCCCAGACATTCTAATAGCCCCTGGAGGGTGATTCCAGAAAGCTGGGATTTGGAATTTGGAGTGATGAGACTATAAACATTATGAAAGTGCTGAGAACACGAGAGATGGTAGAAAGGCCATCCCTAGCACTGGAAGATCTAGAGAGCACTAGGACTTACTTCCTCTGGCTGCCAAGGAATTGTAACCCTGAGTGTGGAGGACCCTGACACCCTGAGGTCCGACTTGGTTGAGCTTCTCTTTGTGTATCTGTGATTTCAATCTGAACCCCCAATTGATCGTTCACACTGCCCCTGTCACTGCAAGCATTACGCTGCTAGTCAGTGATGCATTTGATTCTACCAGAGACATGAGGAGAGGAGAAGACATGTAGATGATTGTTTTACTTGTGTGCAAGCATGATATATGTGCAACTGTGTATAGGCTATAGGTAGAACTTCCTCCTCAGATAAACCTTTTGAAAACCTTGAGATTCAACAGATTATATGCAATCCATTCTCATTATATAGGACACTGTCAGTGTCAGCTGAGGGTGGATGCTAACCATATCTGCAGAACCTGTCCTAGTGACACCAAGGTTAATATTTAATCGAACAACTAACTTGGTGTTGCCCAGCAGGATTGACTCACAAAATTAACCATTACAATCAGTTATGAACTGCCGTATTATGTGATGGTTGTGTTAAAATAAGCAAAGGGAAATGCCCACACTTAAAAATAGTCTCATCTTTGTTCAATTGACACAGTAAAGGACCTACTACTTTGAGATGTAAAGAAAATATGAAATTATTAAAAATATATATCCAAATATAAAAATGCCCAAATGGAGCTATTTCATGCCTGATAATAATGAATACTCCAAAGAATGTCTTCTTAGATAATTCAAATGCAATTGTCTAAGTACATGAGTAGACAGAAATTGTGTGATGCAAAGAAAATGAGAAGGTGGAAACTGCTTCAAAGTTTATAATTATTCACAGAAGTAAGACATTTGATTTTCCTGTGTCTAGAACTTGTTCATATTTTACTTATAATCTGTTTATAAGTAACTAAGTCAAGCAATAAAATTCATCTGATTGAAAGCAGCAAACCCTAGTGGATTCTAGAATTGTATCTATTTCCCAACACAAATGACTAATAATTCAGCATCACAGTAAAGCATGCTGCACCCAATGCCTGCAGCAGCTAACATGAAGTGGGTAGCTACTATAACAAGGACTTAGCTGTAGCATGCATATGGCTTCTAAATAGAGGCCTGTGTTTAAAATAAGCCAGGGTAAAAAAAAAAAATAAGCTAAGTGAATGCTAGAAACTAGGTATGAAAAGGTATAATCTTGGTTCTGATATGAAGTCACTCAAGGTGATTTTTTAATATATCTACTTATATAAATAAAACCAGGAAATTTTCACAGTTGTAGAGGATCTTGGAAGACAAAGTTTCTTTAACCAGTGGGAAGGCGTATTGTTGAATCCACAGGAAACCCAACTGAAAACACAGGGAAGGGCTGGTGTGTGATTGTTTTTTGTTTGTTTGTTTGTTTTGTTAAGAAAAACCTAAATGGACATCACCTCAGCCGTGACATTCCACAGAAATGTTTCCACCTGTCTGGTTGGTGAGCCAATGAGTGTATTGGGGTTGCTTAGAAAAAGGTGAGTGGCTCATGGGAAGCTGCATCGGCATCATTTAAGGCCCACCTCAGCATGGGCAATGATGCATAAAACAGATATGCCCAGCCTGCAGGCAGCTCCTCCAGAGAGGTTTCCTTCTCCCTTTGCTACTTTTGCAGCCTTGGAGAGAGGACTTGTGAATCTTGTCCCTTTCTGAACTTGCTGGGCCTTGGAAGTTTCCTTTGTTTCCTGAGAGCTTCCTTCTTGCCCCAAGAGAGAGTATTTTCCTTAAAGGGAATAGCTCCAAAACAGTGGGATCTGTGGAAGTGTACTTGAAAGTTAGGAAGCATCAGCCAGTCCAGAACTGGTAACACAAAGAGCAGCAACAGCCAACCCCACAGCGCAGAGCAGGCAGCAGGGTGTGCAAATCTTGGCAGGACTTCTTATTGGTGAGAAGGAAAGTAAATGTCTCTCTAGATAGACGGATGGATGCATGGATGGATAGATGGATGGATGTTAAATAAGATTTATTATATATAGCTGGGTATGTCAGTACATGCCTTTAGGTGAAATTTTGAGTTTCAAGCCAGGGCTACACAGATAAATCCTGTCTTGAAAACCTATAAATAAGTAAATAAATAAATAAATAGATTGATTAATCATAAAGAGTTAAATTAGAAAATTAGATTATGAAATATTAACTTTTACAGGTACATTGAAAACTATTGTTAAGAATGTAAAGTTAAGGGAGTTAGTAAAACAAACATCATACAAAACAAACAGAGATGTTTTCTGAACTCTGGCCAATCTCAAAATGAATATCAAAATGAACATAATGGAGCATTAAATAAAAATTAGATTGCTTTTCCCTGTATAAAAAATGGATTTCCCAATTTACTCAGAAGTTCAAAGCTGCCTCCTTCCTCCCTGCCAACAAATTGTACTCACATCACACTCACATTTGTGCATGACATGCACAGGCACAAACTTGTACACACACACACACACACACACACACACACACACACAAGCTGATGCATACTGCTCCTGTGCACTCCCATGATCACATGAAACTATTAAGATGATAGTTCCAAAATGTTAGTAATTTAAGGACAGGATGAGTTTTAGGGTAACAGACTCTTGGCTGAGAGCATTGGGTTCTCCTGTTTATGTCAATCAATTTCCACAGTTTGTGTTCTTTGGCCACAGTGGTGCAAATGGAGGATGTCTCAGCCCTAGACACTTTTTACTTGCTGCTGGGCTGGGCTGCAGGGAGATATCCACTTGACTGGAAGTTGGTATTTGAAGAAAGGGCTTTGATATGGGAAGTAGAGACTTTAAGTGTGTGTCTGGTTTTGAAAGCCAGAGCTTAGAAGTGAGTGTTTGGAAAGTGAGGTTTTCTAGGGTCAGGTGCCCAAGGACTTCTCCTTCAGGACGCAAGCATTCAGAAATCAGCATTAATAGCAGGGGTAGAAAGATGAGAAGATGGGTACTGGAACACACATGAAAAGACTGATGGAGAAGGAGCAGGGATCAGTCAGGTTGAAGGTATCTGGGAGGTCAACTTACATGAGCTGAGGTTTAGGAATTCTACCTTACTAGACTAGATATAGTGAGGAGATCTGAGAAGGGCAGACATGAGGAGGAATTAGAGGGCAAGCCAAATCTTAACAGCATTTTGCTGTGGACAGAAAAGTATAAATGCCACAGGTGTGCATGGAACACACCTTGGAGACTGTTTCTGTGGCACGAGGTATTTCAACATAGTGCTATTCAAGGGCGGGGGGAGCTCAGCATAGAATGGATGTGTTGAATAATGAAGTAAATGTAGTGCAGCTTTCAGAAGGCTGAAGAAAAGGCAGAGCCTCATGAGAGGGATAGGGAGACAGAGTAAAGCCTGACTCTAGGGTGGGAACACAGGCACATCCTTCATAAACATGGAATGAAGATCTCTATTTCAGCAGATGAGTGAAAAGGAGGGATGTAGTATTGGAGATGCTCAAAGAGAGGAAGGGGATGTCATCTTGGGAAAGAGGAGGGGCTAGATTCTGAAGTGTTTGTATTCCTGAGAGCTTAGACACTCACAGCCACTACTTCAGACCAGGACAAACCGGAGGCATTTTCTCTGGTTAGGTTATACAGCCTGGGTCACTTTGGTGTCTCAATTGAGATGGGGCAAAGATTGAATTTAAATCAATTTAAATTGGTGTGAAATCAGCTTGGAAAGTAGGATCACTTGGAGACTGTGTGGTCAGTTGACAGTGAGCATGCCCTTCATACACTCAGATGTGCAGGGTGAAGATGAGATGAGGCTCCATGAGCATGGCTCTACATTCAGCCGAAGTCCAAGCTGGCATGCTGCTCTCACCTCTACAAGGTTCTAACTCTTGGTTTCTGTGCTCAAAGACACTGACAACTCATATAGGAGAAATGCTCAAATTAAGTTCAATCCACCGGGCTCTGTCGTCAAGAATGTGATGTATTTACAAAGAAGTGAGCTAGGGTGCTTTCCACGGAGATTCCATGGAGCTTTGTCTCTTTGGGTGATAGACTCTTCCAGACCTTGTAGCAATTTGTCTTGCACTCAGGATGAAGAGAATGGTATCATGGATGCCCCTTTTGCCTCTTCTACAAATGTTGTAAACTCTCTTCAATGCTAGGGGTAAGAAACTTTCAGTTAGTCAGAATGTGAAATTTGTGGTAAATAAATGCACACATTCACACTTACATATACACATTTCCAGACATGGACTCTTGCTTATGCAATTATACCCTTGTACATATGCTTACACACTAATGCATATGTACACACATTTGGACATACCTATTTTTAAATTAATTTACCTGTTTCCCATATATTTTTCAATTGCTTTGTTCATACAAATTAGCTAAGAATACATGGAATATTTGAAGTAGTTTAAGCCACAAAAGAAAGCCTACCATAGGTTTTGCCAAGTCAACAAAATGATCCTTCTTTGAAATGTTTTTTTAATAAATATTTTATCTTATAATTAATTTAATTTTACTTATCAGCCACAGATTCCCCTGTCCTCCCTCCTCTCACCCCCCAGCCTTCCTCCCCAATCCACCCTCCATTCCCACTTCCTCCAAGGCAAGGTCTCCCCTGGGGATTCAGCCCAGCCTGGTAGATTCAGGTGAGGCAGGTCCAGTCCCCTCCTCCCTGCACCAAGGCTGACCCCATGGGAATACGAAGAAGCAGAGTGCTAGAGAGGTGCCCAGAAATTCACAAAGATACCTCCACTATAGACTAGTAGCAATGGTTGAGAGAGTGCCTGAGCTGACCTACTCTGGTAATCGGATGGCCGAACACCCTAACTGTCATGATAGAACTCTCATCCAGTGACTGGTGGAAGCAGATGCAGAGATCCATGGCCAAACCCCAGGTGGAGCTCCAGGAGTCCAACCAGCAAGAGAGAGGAGGGATTATATGAGCTGAAATGTTTTCACATTTCTATCATATAAACCGTTAAAACATATATAAAAAGAATTTTTAATCATAAAAGATAGCATGAACAATATTAAAACATTTCTTGTGTCAGAATTATGAGACACAGCTAGGTGATAACTCTGGGTAGAAAGGAGGTTTTAAACATCCAAGAAAGATTTTTTTAAAAAATCTATTTTCCACATCGGAGTTTTAAAGCAGGATTAACACAGGAATTTAAACAAGGAAGTGACAGAGATGGATGAGCAAGTTTATAAAAGGAAAAACATGAGGCACTGAGAGAAACACAGTTGATAACAGCAGTTGTTAGTGGGATTCCTGCTTTGAAGACACCAGGCAAAGCCTATGAACCAAGGGTCAGTGAGAAGACCCTAGTGACAGACCCACTCTGCAAACCTGAATCAGGAACATTCCTGAATCAGACACATGAGCCCCAGAAAAGCCAGAAAATCATGAGCATGTGATGTTTGTTTTAGGCAGAGAAGGCATTCTGCCAGAGTTCAGGGCATGTGTCCATTAATGTAAAAGTTGAGACAATGGTGTGAGTAATCTCATGGTGCATCACTCCTACGTGCCACAGGTATTGGTGGATCTAATTGTGTGGTCACGAGGCAAACGGCGACCAATGAATTTTTACAGATAAGGCCAAATTTCCCTTGAAATCAGAAACAGGACTTTTCTATGACTTTCTGGAAAGATAAAAACATCTTTACATTGGCCTGGAAGGTTGAGATAGGAATGGTGGTGAAAAGTATGCATTTCTTTCATTACATTTTAAATACGTTTGTATCCAAAATTGTGCAATGAGTCTTCTGAAACTGCCTCATGTCGACCCATACAGAGCACCCACTCACGTCCCCAGGCATCTGGGGGGCTCAACAGATCTGGGGTCCTAGAGTCCTTGCCTTGGGTCTCATCCATCCTTGCTTATAGGCAGAGTACTTGTGTCTGCTTGGAGGTGGGGCCCTTGGGAGGGGACCATAAGATCGTAAGAGTGCCTCTCTCCATGGTGACCATAAGATCACCAGAGTGCCTCCCTCCATGGGTGAACATACAGTTCTCCTGCTATAGGACAGTGAGTATGTCATGGGAATCAATCTTGCTAACATGCCAAGCTCAGACTGCCAACTCCAGCATGCAGACCTTGAGAAGGAAATTTGTGGTGTTTGCTGTAGGTCTGGACAATCTGAAAAGGCAGTTTTAGGTAATCACATGTAGGGAATGTCCTGGATGATATAGAAGTATAGAAAAATTAAGATATAGGATCCTTTCTAAGAAGGCTTACCTGTGAGGACATGACTAGAAATCAGAGATGAGAACAGCAGCCTGTACCAATGGGTCCAGAGAGATGTACATCCTACAGAGTGTCAGTGTCTCAGGTAACTCTCAAATGAGTTCTTGGAAAGCAGGAAAGATCTGCAAAGACTTTACTTTTCACTTATGTCTGGTTCTTCTGTGATGGTGAAGTGCTGTTCTCACCTTCTGAACAGGTGCATCTTCTGAGAAACGCTGGCGATGACGTTACCATCACTGTGGAGTATCTCAGGGAAGCACCCTCATTTCTGAAGCTCCCATTAGGTAAGTGGGAAGGGGAGAGGTGTTAGGGTGTTGTGGGATTCTCTTCCTTCCTACATTATTTATCCGCATATATTGGTACAGTGGGTATAAATTATCTCCCAAGCATATTCTCCGAGAGAAGACTGATTTAGACAGACAGAGGGGCACAACAGGATGCTAAGGCACTCCAGACATCATAATCAGAATCAACTCTGTGTCTTCCTTCACATGAACTCCCTCCTTTTGTGTTTATACACACACACACACACACACATACTCACACACACAGACACACATTAACATACATACATGCACATACTCATATACATACACTAACATACCCACATGTACACACCCAGTTAACTACTAATGCATATTCATGTGCATATATGTAGCTTGTATTCATAATATCCAGGTTGACCTCATATTAAGTATACAGTTCAGTCATGTTAATGTACACTTCAGAGTACCTACCATGATGAGGCAGAGCTTGTGATACACTGCTGTACTAGATCCAGGGAGACTGGTAAACATCAAGCTTAGAAAAGCACTTTACTGAGCATGGTTTGTGTCTTTAACTTATTCTCCATAGCTGAGCATTTAACAGAAGGTCCTGCCCTTATTTTGGATATCAGTGGGCTGACTCCTGGATGTTGTCTTCTGCTTCTAGGAAAGATCTGAAAGACAAGGCTCAGCATCTGTAGAGCTAACTTCCTGCAGCTGCAAGTACAGGGGCAGCTGATAGCAGCAGGAGCCTTCCTGGCCTGGGCCAGCCTTCCTTTCCTGTCCTGACTGACTCTTCTCTTCATCCTCTTCTCCCAAGAAAGGGTGGCTCCTTCTCCCTGGTCCATCCTGCATGCTCACCCTCCTTCTCTTCCATTGCTGTAACCCTGTTGTTAGCATCTCTCTTATTTAGTGTGTAACTGGCCTGGGTGCTGCTCCTGAGGCCTTGTCAGCTGTGGACTCTGGCCATGCACCCATTTCATGCTCTGTCAGAAGAGCCATTAGATTCAGACCTTCCTTCTATCCCCTTCTCCCTGGGACCTTTGAGCCTGTCATTTCCAAGTGACCACAGGGAGTAATTGTGATATTTACTTTTAGAGAAATTGGTGCCCTTTGTGCAGACTCATGGGTAAGAGTGGCTACTTGCCCTGGGTTCCTGGGGACCACATCTCTGTGAAATGGAGGAAGAGCTGTAGGTGACAAGTTCTTGAGGATCTGTGGATGGCATGGAAGAGTTTCATGTACAGATGGGAAGATCCCCATAGTAAGAAAAGTAGATATCAGAAACAGATTAAAGACTAGACGGAAGTGACAATTGTCACTGTGGAATTCATGAGGGATGCTAAGAATGCTCTCATGTGCACAGAGACAGGGATGTGGTGATGCCTGTGATCAATCACTCACAGATCCCAGGGGACTCCAACTCCCCTTGTTACCACACATCAGAATGAGTGCTCTTCTACAAGTCACTTAGTACATGAGGGGGTGATGCAAGACTCAGTATTCTATCAGTGCTACCAGGGAGGTTTGAAAGGGAAGAAATGAGGGTGTTAAATGAGGGGAGGAGAGAGAGATACACACAGAGAGAACAAGAACACAGTAGAGTGATAAAAGAAGAAAAATAAAAAATGAAGAGAGCTATACTTTTCAGCATTTTCTCTTCTTCACCAATTCTACCAATTCAGAGAGTAAAGTCAGGAGCTGGTCTTGGTAGTTGGGAAGATGAGTCAGGAAATAACGGTCCCTTGAATGTAGACAGAGGTTCTGTAACAGGGTGTAATGTGGAAGTGTGGCTAGCCGAGTGGGGTGCAGTAATGGCCATTCCCATTGCTACGGATGTGGTGGCATGTGGATCATCAGGTATAGAAAATGTCTGCCCTCTCTGAAATTCTGGGGTGGGGGGCAGGAAGGAAGTTTAAAGAAGAGGATTGTTTCTCAGTGCCCCATGGCTATAACAAACCCTGAGGAGAATAGCCCTATGGAGGGTCTCTGGTTTGTCTGATCACAGTTGAAGAGATTTCAATTTATTGTCATTTGCTTTGGGCCTATGGGAGCCCTGCATACCACAGCAGGGATGTATGGTGGAGGCAGCTGCTTCCATTGCTGGTCAGGAAGCAATGATAGGGACAGAGAAGAAGGATGTAGGGTGCCCAGGGCACATCACCTGACTTCTTCCCACAAAGTGCCACTTCCTTTTCTTTTCCTTTTTTCTTTTTTGGCTAAGATTTTTTTTTTACAAAATAAAATATAGTAAGATAAAGAAAAAAAACTATCATATTGAAGTTGGACACAGTAACCCAATGGGAAAAGGAGTCCCAAGAGCAGACACAAAAGTCAGAGACCCACTTGTTCACACGCTCCAGAGTCCCATAAAAATACTAAGCTAAAAGCTATAATGTGGAGGGCCCATGTAGGAGCTGTCTTGCTGCTCCAGTCCCTGTGAGCTCACATACACCCTGCTTAGTTGATTTAGTGGGGCTTTGTTCTTCTGTGTCCTCCATCCCTCTGGCTCTTACACTCTTCTGGCCTCCTCTCCCATGGGTTCCACAAGCTCTGAGGAAGGGGGTTATTTGATGGATACTTCCTATTTAGACTCACTCTGTGTGAGTGTCACTTCCTAACAGATCCTCTGCCTACCAGTAGAGCCACAGGCTGAGACCAGGCCGTTTAGTACATGGCTTTTGAAGCACATGTATCCAAAGGATCCACATGAGGATGGTGGAAATTTCTTAATTGGAAGTGATGGGAGTTTTTAAGGCTGTATACAAGGGAGGCTGTACCCAAGCCAGCCCCGCACAGCACTGTTCCCCAGGATATAGAAGATTGGTAGTAGTGCTAAACATGTGTTTCCATCTTGTTCTTGCACAAGTAAAACCTCGTGCATGGCAGCCTACCTCCAGGTGAGTGTCTTCCGCCTCCTGCATGAGCCTAACTCTGTGTTCTGAGTGTGCCTTTGTACTGAGATTGGAAGTGAGGGATAGTTATAGCCTGGCCCAATGGGCAGCATGAAAGACGGAGACAACAGGATGCTTGCACAGCTTTCCCTGCTTCCCATCAGAGGTCAGTAACGTTTCTGGATAAGGAGAGAGGGTGAATGTTTGGTGGCTGCTAACACTGGTGTAATGGGAGCAGTAGAACTGACAGCCACAAGGATTTCAACATCTGTTTCTTGAAAAGGAAAGGTCACCATGGCTCTGAAGCTGCCATTTCCCTCAAAAGAGCTCTTGAAGCCCAGGAACTGTAAAGTAACTTCCTTTCACAGGCTTGACTGGAATCTGAGGGTTTGGCGCTCATACCTTTTGGTTATCTAGGAAGTCTTGTGGACTCTCCTGCTGAGGGCCTGTGCAGAGCTCAGCCATTGTGGCTAGCTCCACCCTGAACTCCTCTGAGCCCCATTGCTCAGGGGCAGTGTAGACTCCAGAGATAGATGCTGAGCTCTCCATTAATTCTATAAATGTCCATTCGTCTTTTATTTGGTTCTTTACAACCTAAAACAGTTAAATCTTTAGTATCTATAAAAATTTAAACACAAGGGCCATAATCATTCCATCAATCCATGCAAAATGGTCTCTGGTGAGTACATGTCACTGAGGGAAAATTGCTTCTGCCTGCGTAGATTCTGTTGGGTTGCTTGTTTGTCTGAAGCAACATCTGTCCCACAGAGGTGATTGCTGATGTAGAAAAACATACCAATAGTAAATAAAATGTCCATTTTAGCATTTCTTAAATCGATATTAATGGGAACATAAATACCCAGTGAGACTGAGTCAACAGACCTGTGCATTTTTTTTTCTTTCAGAATCTCAGACACTTGGTGATTTTATACAGATAGACTTTGCACATTGTAGTATTTCACTATGTTATACACCATCACCACTGATTAAATTTCTTGACATTCTACTGCTCAAAGGAGGTCCTCCACAAGCTACCAGGCAGCCCCTGATTCCCTCCCCCAGCCACTCAAAGTCACTGCTTTCTGCCTCTGGATTTGCCTTTTCTGGAAATGTGTATCAATGCATTCATACAATTTGTGACCTTGGCTTGCTGTTCCTTCCACTTACCATGATGCTTTCAAAGTTCATTGGTGAGGTAGCATGCATCTGCTACAGCTGCATAACTCTGCTTTATATGGTTGTAGGGCATTGCTCCATCCACTCTTTAGCTAATGAACACTTGTTTCTATTTCTGGGCTGTTATGAATATGCTGCTGCAAACATTCATCAACAGGCTTTGTTTGGACATCTTTGTTAAGTCTCTACCTAGAGAAGAGAATTCTGGGTCCTACGATAATGCCATGTTTAGCTTAGAGCGTCTTCCAGAGTGCTTCCCTCTGTGGCTCTGCTGCTTGAAGTTTAGTGAAGTAGTCATAGGACTTTGGACAGATTATAGTTCAGTCTTTGAAGAAAAGAGTTTTATAACTACTGATTTATGCATTTTTCTTTGCTTTTTTAGAACAATTCTTTATGTAATTAATAATTGCTAATACTTTGTTAGGGTGATAGCTTAGTCAATAAAGTGCTTGTCTTGAAAACATCCTCCAGGACCTACATTAAAAACAGCCATGTGTTAAGAGACACAGTTATGATCTCAGTTCAGGAAAAGCAGAGAAGTGTGTCTTCCTGGGCCTCCCTAGTCTACTTAATGGACTTCAAGCAGGTAAGAGGCCTCAATTAAAAATCCAAGGTGTATGATACCTGAGGAAGGACAAATGAAGTTGTCCTCTGACTTCAACATGCATGTGCACACATGTGCATGTGCCTCTCCACACATATACACCTACTCATAAATGAACATGTTCCCCCTACACACACACACACACACACATACACACACACACACACACACACACACACACACACACACACACACACACCACAATTACTAACACTGACCAGATTTGGAAAATGGATGTTCTGGTGGTAAGCAAAACAATATAGGAAGTATTCAAATTTTTCTTTGGGGATACAGAAGGAAAGCTGATAGTCAATGAGAAATTAATAGGAGTCCAATGTCTACAAAAGACTATCAATTTTAAATTTCTCCGCTTACTACACATTGCTTCTTCAGACGTGTTTATGGTGACATTTATCATGTGTCACTCAGAGCAACAGCATTACCTAGGGGGTTTTAGGCAGTTCAAAATGTTTTCATCTTTCTTGCAAATAATGACAAGTTGATTCTGGATATAAATGAAAGACTTTGGAAAGAGTTGCATGGACTGTCCTAAAGTGTACATGGAAATGCTATAAAAAAAAAAACTGTGCTAATGTAAAAATAGCACTCTGTAATGGAAAGTAACAAAAGCCTAGACCGGGATAGATTCCACTGGGCAACAACTGTATCTATCTGGGGTAGTAAATGAGCAGAGAAATATTCACTTGTCAGTTTGTGTAAATAAAGGCAAAGAGTTCTTGTGTCTCCCAGCACACGTAGGAATACGGTGAAGTGCTTCGTAGTACTTGTCCTAATAGATGTGACATGGGTGGGAACGGGCACTGACTTGCTGGGCTGTGCATGATGGGAGGTGCAGAGGTAGACTGGAAATTAGCAGTCAGCCTCGGAGCCTTCTGGTCACTAGGCACCCCATGTCCATATGCACTGAGGAGGGCTGACAGTTCACTACAGTCCTGGGAATGAGATGAGATGATCCAGTGCTGACATGCAGGATGGTGCCCACCCAGTTCTCGGTTCCTCTCTCAATGCCTTTTCTTGCAAGTGGCTGGTGGGGAGAGGGCCTGCCTTCCTGTTTCATTCTCTTGATAGCATTACAGCCTCACCATGATTGCAGCTTGTCAGTGATAAGCCTACCACTGTGCCATCCGCGGCACTTCTGCTTGCTTTCCAAGGCTCAGAAGGCCTAATCTCAGGGCTGTCTCTCTCCTACACAAGAGGGTTTCCTATGTGCTTCCAGATGTGCAGATTCTCTGGGAATCTGGTCATCAGGCGGTGGTGCTCAACCATCTGTCTTTATGAGACATCACAAAAAAATGGAAGAACTGACACACAGGATCTGCCTGCACTTCTTGTTTGTGCAGGAAATAATGGGGCCAGGGGTAATCACAGAAAACTCTTTTTCTTAGAGTTGCCCTCAGGACCTGAGTGAATGGCCTGAAGCCTTGGGAATGGCCCCAAGCTTCCCTTTAACAATTCTTAATGAAACTAATAGTTTAACTTGATTATTGAACTTGTGTGAAAGCTGATTGCAGGGTTGTTCTTAAAGGGATTTGCAGTTACTGGGCACCTGTTGTCTCTGGACTGGGTCAAATGTGCTAACCTGAGAAAACCTTTTTAAGTCAGATCATCTCCCATAACAGTGAAGACACTTAGCTACCAAAAGACACAGTAGGAAAATCTATCTGTCACCCAATCTGTAAAATAGTAATGGTTATGATTGATACACATGCCACATTGATTTTTTGCTTTTTATACAAGCAAACCCACTGCATTTGTACACAATACACAAATGGATTTTAACTCAGTTTGTCATAGATTATGATGGTGGTGGTGGTGTGACTGATGCAGGGCTACCCCTTCTGCATTGCCTACATTCTCATACTGCCTGTCTGCAGCAATGAGAGACCCAAATGTCATCCACCCATCAGCAACTCTGAGGGAATATGCCATAGTAATGGAGTGGGATGAGAGACTGCAAGGGCACGTAACCCTATTGTAGACACAGCCCTGCTCTGCATCCCGATAGTGCGTTATAACATGACAGGCAAGAGATTGCACTAGGAGCACTGGTGGTTCTGGGAAAGGAGGGAAAACCTCTGGCTAATCAATAGACCTGAGAGTCATCCCCAACTCAGTTCCACATCCCTGAGAGGGGCCTAGCAATGGACGGCTGGCTCTCGTTGTGTGCTTAGCTATGTTGCAGTCATATAGTCACACATGATGTAGTTGACAACTACGTCTGGAATGAATGCCTCTCATTTTGTTTCAGGGTCCCCGGGGCCATCCAGTGACCACAGCAGCAGAGCCTCATCGCCTCTCTTTGACAGTGGCCTGCACCTCAATGGACACTGCAGCCACACAGTAAGCACGTGCAATCCCCTGACCTCATCACTTGGGAACCTCAATCCCAAGGGCCCTGGGTTGAGGAGAAAACTGCAGAGGCACATGCAGATGTTCTGGAAGAAACAATGAAAACAGGAATTAGTCAGTTCCATTGAAATTTACTCCCATGTGGGGTCTTTGTCCTTATACCCACTAAGACACATTCAACCAGTAGTTCATAACTGCATGGAAAGCAAACATTAGTCTTCATTTTGAGGTAGAATTCAAAGTAACCTCTGGGTTTCAGGCAGCCTTATCAAGAGGGTCTCAAGTTGTTTTTAGGAGATTTCTAGAAGACTCACATGAAAGGAGAACAGTGAGGATTTATCCCCAAATTCATGGGAAACATCAAGGAAACATGAGCACTGTACATTTGCCATGAGGCTTAATCCTGTGCCTCACCCCCCTATCCTAAGACCCTACAAATGAGTGCAACCACCAGTGCTTGCTACTCTGGGCCTGCCTCCTAATGATCAGCCTCTCTCTGGGTAGGTGGGCTTATTATTCACAGAGACTTTAGTCAGAAGTAGAACCTTAGCATTCCACAATAAGTTTTAAAGTATATTTTATAATAGATCTTTTCCCACCCTCACATTCAGGTAGAACTCAGGGGAAAAGATTCATGTTTGTTCATTTAATTACATGGTACCATAATTTCTTGCTTTAGCAGTTTAAATAGATTTTAATAATTTAAAGTTTGGCTTCTGTAACTAACAAAGAATAGGCAACATACTCACAAGTCACATCTCCCTGTCTTGGGACCATAGACAAACAGCATCCTAATTTTCACAGCCACCACTTGATTTTAAAAATTAGTTTTGAGCCAGGCACAACAGCACACCTATTTGTCCCACCTACTCAGGAAGCAGAGGCTTCAGTTGAGCTTGGGAGTTGGAAGTCAGTCTGGGTAACATATTGGCAGTCATGAGACAAGTCAGAGAAAAGCAAATGGTTCTAGTGACTGTTGTCCTGTGTTACCCTAGATACAGGAGTCATTGATGCACTGGGACACTCACAGAGTCAGTTCTGTATTTCCATCACAGTGAAGAGTCATTTGTCTACTCTCACAGTAGAAAGTCCATTACTGTCTGCAGAGCACTTGCCCTTGGACTACACTTTGGTGTTTGTGAACTTTGCTCTGTGAGAAATAACCTGAGATAGACATCTTAGTCCTGCTTCCTGCAAGATGCACCCAAAGGTAGAGAAGATACCCAGCTAGGAACATGCTCCCTGTATGGGAAGACATGGTTGATTACCATTTGGAGACACTGGATCACAAGAGCAGGGAAGAAGTGAGCTATGGTTGACAGTGGCGTGATTATTACATTTAACAAGACAATAAAATCAAGAGGTGAATAATTACTGTTGTAAAATTTACCATAACATAGTCACTAAAGCTGAGAGAAAAATGACAAGATTGACAGAGTGATGGCATGCCTCTCCCCTGAAATGAAGCAGGGAATCTCTGTTTTCAAAATAAGAAATATGTAAGATCTGCTATGAATAGTTCTTAAAGGGGGCTCTAGTGCTTCAGTCAAAATAACCTATCATCTCCGACATCAAGTAGTTACCTTAAATTACATACTGACAGCAATCTTCATTACCTGGTTATTAAAACGTGCTTCCTTTAAAAAAAAAGTTTCTCCTGAACTGGGGAAGTGAGTACAAACTTTTAAGTCTAGCTGATGCTCATCTCTCACTCTTATACCTCTGCATCCTGAAAATTATTTGTTTGGGAGTCTCTTTTTGAAGAGTTTGAAGTTCAAAGGTCCATATTATATTTGAGCTGAGATCCAACCTGAAATATGGCTATACTTTATCTATATTTAGATCTTACTGAAAAAATACTTTTCTCATACTACATTAGAATCTGGATTTGTTTTATTTTTAAACAAATGTAGATGATGTATATCTTTTTCCCCATAAAATGAGACCTATTTATAACAGCCACATAGACAATTATATTCTAAGCAATTTTATTAGTTACTTCTCTCTGCACTGTGACAAAATACCTCAGAGAAGTAACTCCAAGAAGAGAAGATTTATTTGGCTCACAGTTTCAAAGGAATTTCAGCTCATCATGACGGGAAGGCATGGAAGAGTTTGTGATAGCTGAGCATGTGGTGGAGGCTCCTTACACCATAACAGAGCAAGAGCAGAGACTGCAGGCCAGAGCCTGGAATGCAGGCTCTTTAAAGTCTCTAAAGACTTCATTAGTGACCCTCTTACCCAGCAAGACCCCATCTCCTAAAGATTCCAGATCCTTCATAATAGTCCACAGGCTAGGGGCTCAGCATTTAAAGTAGAAGCCTATAGCAGACATTTCATATTCAACCTACAGCATCAATTCACATTTAAAACTACTGTAATTTTTACTTAAGGCCCATATTTTAATAAGGTAAGGATCATTTCCAAAATCTGTGTTGTTTGGAGGAATAGAGTGCAGATGTCCAGATAAATCTGCTGAGCAGAAGGTACATTCTGGCTGCCCTTTCACAGCCGTTCTCTGCATTTTGAGTGTCCTCCAGGTATCAGAGGTGGAGACGGCTCCCTTTAACTCCCAGAGCTTCCTGTTTTCTCATCTCTGTTGTGAATACATGGGTGCAATTATGTTTGAATTGATTCCAATTCCTCCAGCTGTTAAAATCACCTTCAATACCACTCTCCAGCTTGTTTCCTGTTCTGCATGGTTTTCCCCAGATAATAATGGGTACTGGGATGGTTTGGAGTGTGTGTGTGTGTGTGTGTGTGTGTGTGTGTGTGTGTGTGTGTGTGTGTGTGTGTGTGTTGGGGGAGGGGGCTATCTGACATGGTGGTTCAGAATGAAATTGTATTTCTTGACTCAGAATATTTTGGCCTAGCTGTTCTCTGTCCTGTTGTGCCTCTCCAAAAGGAAAAAATCACAAACTCACTGTTCACAGGAATGCAGGGAATAACTATCAGACTTACCTCTCCTGTATCCTCACTCCTGAAAAGGAAGAGAGGAGGAGTAGGGTTCTTGCCCTGCATTGGAGGTTTGTGCTTGCTCTCTGTCTTGAAGCCTAGGTGTCCTGAAGCACTGTTTGCTAACTCAGCAGCCTGCTGTTATCCAGCACAGCTTAGGGTCTGTGCACTGTTCTTTGGCAGAACTGCCATGGCATGAGTGGGCAGCTTCTGTGCCAAGCAATTTTCTGTGCTGGCCCATGTAAAGTAACCCTTCATGGAGGCTGGGGGCAGTGCCCAACTAGGAGAGGCCTGTACTATGAGGAGACTGCTCAGGGCTAATGTTTAGGAGCAGAAGCCAAGGGGTAAAGAGCTGGGGCTCATCTCTTGAGGACCCCAAAGAGAACGGATGCAGAATATTTTTTATTACGTGAACAGAGTGTACTTTAAATGTTGGTGAATTGTGACAAGCACTCTGTGCTAGTTGCCATTGGAGAGCTGCTGTGGAGTTGTCTTGGGTTTATGGAAGTTCCTGACCAGTATAAAAAGCAAGGACTTAAGCTTATTTTACACACTGCATTTAGAAGTGGGCTTCAGTTACCTTTTATTGTTTAGATATGAAGTGTTCCTCAAAACAGTCACATGTTTGAGGAAGGTCCCCTGATGCTGTATCCAGTCAATCAAAGGTGGTTTGATCATTACCTGATAAATGAATTAGTCTGCTGATGGAGTCATAATTTGGTGATATTATTGGGAAGTGTTGGAAGCCCTGAGGTGAAGGCTGGTTGAAAGTGGTAGCCATGGCTGTGAAAGGTGTATTTTGTCCTGGCTCCTTCCTGTTGCACCCTCAGCTTTCAGGATGCCCTGAGGTCAGCAGCTTTCTCCCATGTTCTGGTTTGAATGTGAAATAACCCTGACATACTCAGTGTTTGAGTACTTGGTCCCCAGATGGTGGCATTGTTTGGAGCAGTTGTAGAGCCTTTTTTTTACATAGTTGGCCGACACAGGTCCATGGAGTTCTAGCCAGGTAACTGCTGGATGCAATGAGCCAGTCTGCTGTTCCAATGGCAAGCTGTGGTTGCCACCATGCTTTCTCCACCCCCGTGGACTGTGCTCTCAAACTGTGAACCAAAACAAATCTGCCCTCCTTTAAGCTGTCAGATATGATTCATAGTTATGAGGAAAATAACTGATATACAACACCACAGTCTTCCACGGTAGCATCTCAGCCCTCCATCAGACCCGCAGCGGTGGAGCCAACCATGAGCCATCAGCTCTGAAACAGCCAGAATAAATTGCTCCTTTTTCCTGGGTGTTTTATCACAGCAACAAAACAACTGACAGACCTCTCAACAGTGGGGAAGAAACCCCGAGCATTTTTGGTGCCTCCTTAGTCTTCAGCAGCGGAGCATAATAAGAATTTACTAAGGCAGGTAGAGGTAGCAGCAAATCCACCATTCACAGCATGTTTCCACTTCAGCATGGTTTACAGTTGAAACTCCTCTAAATACCTCTGAGGATATGAAAGCAAAACAATTCTGTGTCTTTATTAAGACCTTGACTTTGCAGTCACTCTATTTTGTTTTTCTGCAACTTTGGCTGCAGACTGCAAGTTTGGGGACTTTGGATGCTATTGGGACCTGGAACCACTCCTTCCAGGCTGTCCTACCACCATAGTCAAGGGGGTAAGCAGAGCCAGGTATCCAAGGAGCCAGGCATGAGGAGGGTCAGGTGTGCACAAAGCTTGGTGTCCACAGGACAAAGAATGTACAGAGCTAGGACTGACAGGACAGGAATCCTGACAGCCATCTCTCCCATGTCAGGAAATGTTTTCTGAGTTTTTCCAAATCTCGTAGAACAAGGTTGACCACGCTCTTCAATTTTTTTTTATCACCCATTATTCTCTCTTTGTCAGATGCTATAGCCTGGAAAGTTAGAAGTGGGTATAGCTGGAGTGGGCTGTGCACACATGAAGCGAAGCCAAGCCACGAGCTGCTGACAGTGCAGTGAGCATCTCCTCCGTGGCTTGCTGTGGGTTCCCAGCCAGACCTCAGACACTGTCATCTCCCACAGATATAAGATACAGCAGCAGTTAGGACTGCTCACAGAAATCTTTTGAAGAAATACTTTTCAGGTACTTATAAATGACAGTTCCCTGTAAGGAGAGCGTCGACCAAGTCGCTATGGGAATGGCACTAACCGCGCACATGGATAGTGTCTTACAGCTTTCACTTTCAATCAGGGCTTTCCTGGGGTCATCAACTTTTCTCTGCTCTGGTCAAATATTGCTCCTTTTATTATGTTTGTGTGGCTTTGTTCTCTAAAATCACATTACTAAGGGCTCATAGCCCCAGCAGGATTTGTGAAGATGGAAATTGCAAGCTGAGACCCACAGGCAGGTTTTGTCTGCTGAGCAGCCATTATTATTTTAAATTGAACATGAAGTGTCCACGCAGCTAGAGACAAACTCATCCTAGGTTTAGTGATTATTTATTGACCAAAGCATTCTTTTAAAACTGAAATTATTTGATGGTTACCTACAAACTCTGTAATGAGCTTCATGCAAGAAATACACACACCACACTAAAAACTGTGTTGGGACATTTTGTTTGTGTTCAAACTGACACTTTGCATGTTCTCTTCTTGGTAATGTCTACTAAGTAATGAATTTGTTATTGCATATTATGTCAGAATATCCATGATCCATACCTTTAGAAAGTCCTCAGGCATTTTTCTAGTGCTTTTGAAAATTGATTTCATAGAAATAAACATTACACAAAGACATTATGGAGTGTGAGTGCAGAGTGGTTTTTTTTTTCTTTACCAACATTTGAGCATGGCAGGGGTCATAAACTGTGCTCAGGTGAAATAAGGGCAAGACACGTTACTGGCAACGTACTAGATGTCACCTCGCTCCACCTGCTTGTTGTGGCTTTACCAGCCAGACCTCAGATGCTCATCTCCAAGATGAAGTTATTTTAAACATGGTTAGGCATTGCATTTTATTCCAGTGAATGGAAAGAGTAGTTAAAATTTGTTTACAAATTTATGTTAACACTACAGTAAAGGATGCTTATACAACTCATAAACATGAGAAACTGGAGACAAACTTATTTTTTGTAACAGAGCAAGGTACAAGAAGAGTAGGGGGTCCCACCTGGAGTGACAGTTGCATTCCATGGTGCTAGACTACACCACAGTGTCAAGGTAACATGGATACTGAAAGTCCAGGGTCACATTCAGTATCAATAAATATCATTGAAACTGGACTGCGAGCTTACCTTTGAGAAATTGCCTTTGTGATTTATATGATTATATTATATGATTATATTATAATGAGGTTTTCAAGTCAATATGCTACATGTTGTCAGACATAGACATGGAAATCTAAATGGCCAACCCAGGCTTCCTGTGTAGCACAATTCTCAGACAAGAAAATTCCAAGTGACAGGAGGCAGCAGTTAAAAAAGCATTGTGCTGGGTAAAGCAAGGCCCTTGCTTTCATGCAACAAGAACCCAGTGGTTGAAGACTGCGAGCCCTCACAGCAAGGCAGGTCACAGGAGAGCACCCCTCCAGGGGTCTGTGTTAGGACCATGGAAAAGAAACAGTGAGCTATTCTGCTGTCTTCAAAAGGCAAAGGGACAGGTGCAGATTTCTGACTCGGCTAGATTCTATGTGACAAAGCAGAAATAACCTACCAGGTTACAAGAGAAAACCAGGAGAGCCAGGATCTCCATTATTTAGCAGAATCCTCAGACAAATACACAGGGAAAAGGCTGCTTAGGGCACATGTAGGGAAGGGAACCAAGGGGCCAGACAAACACAGATGCTCGCTATCAAGTTGGATGACGTTGAGGTTCCCTGTGCTTTGAGTGGAGATGCAGTTGACTCTGGCCATCCAGCTGAGTATCCAGAGAGGTGACACCTTACACACTTATCTATTCCCTTTCTCATCACAGTTGCAGAATGCATCAGGGGGCCTCATGTTGTCACATCTTCTGAAGTGACGTTTTGCTGTCAGCATTCACCCTCCCTGGTGGATAAATGTCTCTCAACTGCTTATAGGAGCCACTATCTCAGGATGAAGGACATGCCTTTGCCAACAAGGAGGCAGGATCCGAGTACTATCTCATCAACCTGATGCAGTTGAACTTGAGACTTGTAGGAATTTAGCCTAAGAAACATAACCATCAACATAGTTTTCAGTCAGCTGGGTTTTTGGGTGAGAAGAAAGTCTAAATTATTTTAGTTAATCCATATGTGCTATCATGAAATGCACATTTCTAACAGTTACTATTCTTGTTAGCACATTCTTCTTTTCACCAACAAAACCTGTTTCCTATTTCCTGAATAATTATCAGAGCATAGTAGCTGAATGAGAATGCAGAACAGGAAGTCTGGCAGGGCCCCTCTGGTGCATGACCCTTTTAGATACAATGCAAGGAGGCAAATCCAATTGTTCCTTCATAATTACTATGTCACAGCTGCTGTGTCTGGTATTTGTGGATTTGTACCTCATTCTGGTCATTGCTTTTTTAATAAAGTGCTTTATGTCATTAAGTAATCTGCAAGTTGGGAAGGGCTGAGGGGATACATCTGTCTGCTCAGTGTAGCTAGCCCCAGAGGCCATTCAGAGTCTGGTCTTCTGGAGGGTGTCCACTTTGCTCACACCTCTCCTTACCAGGTCCCTCGGTGTTTGGGAGCTCCTTTGCTGCCTGTTAGCAGGGCCAAAGGTGAGCTTCCAAAAAAGTATATATTGAAATCTCTGAGGCCCCCCATGCCCAAGTTCTACCCCACATGGGAGAGCACACACATGTGTGCACAGCCCAGTGGAACTGGACTTTTTCTACAATCTCAAAGCCTGCTCCCTGTTGGCAAAGCACTTGTCTACTCTCCACATCACCAAGGATCTATCTCTTTGGCCTCAGGTCCAGGCAACTGGACCAAGTAACCTCACTAAAACCAGACACACGTGGTAAGGTTCCTGGCTCAGGTTCCAGTGTGACTCTCAAGGCAGGTCTTCATCTGAACATACGAGACCAATGGAGAAGCCATATTTCTCATACTTGACATAGGATATGGACCAGGTTGATGGCAATGAACGTTCTCTCAAGAAGGGAGATGGCGAGAAGGCAAAATGTCCCCACTCCATAGTGACTCTAAGATGGGCAGGCATACATAGCCAAGCTCTGGATTAGAGTATGTCCCCACCCTTGAGAGTCCTTGCTCTATGGCCTCAGCTTGGCCCTGACACCTTCATTTAAGTGGCTTGTCTGGCTTCCCACCCTCTCTAGATCCAGGGACTTGATTATTTTGTTATTTATTCTCTTTGTAGCAGATGCCATGATTCTTTTAAAACATGTATTATAAAGGCATTTTTATGAGTCAACTTTTACTCATTTCATTAAATTTGTCACAGTTCCCTTCAAAGATGCCTATTGTCTGAGGCTGAAAGCCATGATCTTTAGGATTTCCAAAGTCTGAAAATTAAGTGGGAAGAGCTGTAGTTACCCCATTAGGGACTATGTCCCTGTCAGGTCAAGAAGAGGTATGACTTCATATCTTTCTGAATGTCTAACAAAGAAACTCAAGCCCCACCATGCCTGATGATGTTCTAGAAATCTATCTCATAACTGGGATTCATTTGCCATTGGCAGAGCAATTCTGTTTTTACCCACATTACTGGGTGCCTAACATCCATCAGCTCAGCTTGTTTTGAACTACTTTCTCCTAAGGTTCCACATTTTTAAGTTAAGATTTGTCATGACTCTGAGGATCTCCTCCAAATGCAGTTCTCTGCCCTCTTCTTTAGCTTTCTTCCATTTTTTTTGCAAAAAAAAAATTGTTTAAAACATATTTTAAAAGCTTTCATATTCAAATATAAGTGCTGCTTTCTGTCTGGATCTCTGAGAAGTTATCTTGTATGCTTTCATCAGTTGAAGTGGGCTAATCTGAGTTTTATGGGATGGGTGCCTCAGCTGTAAGCCTCTCCAGAGAACAGTGAACTGACTGGTCCTGTGTTGACTGACTCTTGCTTATTTTGCACAGGCTCCGTCATCACCTTCCTCGCCCATAGCTAATGAACCAAAGTATGAGAAGCGTTGGCTAGACACCTTGTCAGTCCCTTTGTCCATGGCTCGGATCTCCAGGTACAAAGCTGGAACAGAAAAGCTCAGGTACGTGACCAATGTTGGAAGTGGGAAAAGTGAACCCAGCACTGGAGGAAAAGGCAGTAAACTCCAGCATTGTGGGAAAGTCTGGCGAACCCCACATTGTGCCAATTCCAGCTACTGTATCTGTGTCTGACAGAAGCATTGGCGAGCACAGGCAGTGTCTCTACAGGGCAGCATTTGAGGAAGTATTGAAGGCCAAGAGGAAAGGAATACAGAAGCAATTGGAGCGGCTGATCTTTTTATTTTTTAAAATAGGAACTGCTCTCCCTTCTAGCAAGAACAATTGTCAGTGCTTAGAAAATAGTCTAAGAAGAAGAAACTCTGTCTTCAGCTTTAAGTATCAACAGAATAGGTTCAATTATAAAAGACTGCATACTTTTCTAAATGACAAATAGATATTGAAAAGCCATTTAAACTTGGTGATCTTCATTTTCTTCATTAATAAAGTAAGAGGGTTAGGCCGGCTCCACGGTTCAATAAATGCTACTTGTTTGGAAGCCCTGTTAATTATGTAGTTTCAAGATGTATCTGTGAAGACTCATGTACCCTTCTGGGTAGGCTAAGAGGCCAGGGCTCCTTGCTCGAGTTTTGAGAGAAGCCAGGTACAAGGAACAGTGACCTGCCTACCAGCTTCAGTTCGCAAAGACATAGCATAAACATCTTGCTGCAAATTGAACCTTGTGTGTCATAAAATATGTGTGTGTAGTTTCGCTGTTTGATATGTGGTGTGAGTACAGTGTGGTGTATAAAGTTGTATGTGTGTGGTATGAGCATGTATGTGTTCTTAGGCATCTTTTTTATAGAAACATAAAGATCTATGTATCTATGGGGTACAGCGTGATATTTCACACACAATATGTGATGACTGAATCAGGATAATTACCTCAAGATTTGTTGTTGTTGTTAGGGGTGGAGAGATGGCTTAATAGTTAAGAACCGATACTGCTAATCCAGAGGACTTAAGTTTGGTCTCAGTACCCACACCTGTAACTCCACCTCCATGGAATCCAACACCATCTTCTTGTTTCCATAGGCAACTGCACTTACATGCACATACCCCCAGACTCTCCACATGCATATTCACATTTAAAATTTTAAAAAGAAATCATTTTGGGGAAGTGTGGGAGCAAATAGGTGTAGGTACCAGCAGATGCCAGAAGAGGGTGCCAGATCTCCTGGAATAGGCATTACAGGTGGTTGTTAGCGCCTGATGTAGCTGTTTTTTGTGGTGTGGACGTTTGATATTAATATTCCTAATCCATGAAAACTCAATGTAACTACATCTATTTGTTCCTTCTTTAATTTCCTTCATCAATGTCTTATAGGTTTCAGTGATTAGATCCTGAACTTCCTTAAATTTACTCCTATTTTATTGTTGTTGTTGTTGTTGTTATTATTATTATTATGGTTTTTTGAGACAGGGTAGCTGTGTAGCTTTGGAGCCTTTCCTGGAACTTACTCTATATCCCAGGCTGGTCTCAAACTCACAGAGATCCGCCTGCCTCTGCCTGGTGGTGGTGCATGCCTATTTTATTATTTTGCAAAGGGGATTGTTTCTTTAATTTATTTTTATACAGTTTGTTCCTAGTGTTCAAAAACACTACTGATTTGTGTATGTTGATGCTGTATCTTCTAGCTGTAGTGAGTCCACATGTCAGTTTGAATGGCTTGCATTATGTGTTTATGCATGTGTGGAGTATTTGTGGTATATCTTTTCTGTACATAAGATCAAATCATTAGCAGAAACAATTGCATTTCTTCTTTCCTACACATACATGTAGGTTTCTTTAGTATTTCTGGTGCAATCCCAAATAGAGGTAGTGAGAATAGACATCCCTCTCTTGCTCTCAATTACACAGGAAATAGTCATCATTTCATCACTGAGTATGATGTGTGCTGTGGTTTTTTGCACTCTTTGGTTTTATTGAGATACAATCCATGCCTAATTCTTTGAGAATGATTTATATTATGAGATGGTGTTGACTTTTGTCAAATGTTTCTTCTGTATCCATTGAAATGGTTGTGCCATTTTTACCCTTTATTCTCTTGGCATGATGTGTCATATTTATTGTGTGTACTTCATAATCTTTTCATCTCAAGGGCAAATTCCATTTGGCCACACGAATGATCATTTAATTATCCTGTTGAATGTATTTGTTAATGTGCATGTATTTCTCATACTAGTGTTTTCTTGTGTCTTTGTCTGGCTTTGGGGTTAGACCAAAGGTAATGATAGTCTTTTGAAATTACCTTAGATGTGTTCTATTGTCTTTGATTTGTTGGAAGAGTTTGAGAAGCATGGGTGTTATTTCTTTTTTGAATGTTTTATAGAACTCAGTAATGCTACCAGGTCCTTACATTTTCTTTAATGAGAATCAAAACTCTTGATCCAGCCTCCTTAATGGCTCACTAAGATTTTGTCTTAATATGATTCAGTTTTGGCCATTTATGTGTTTCTTGGAACTTGTCTTCTAGATTATCTTAATATTCTAGGTTATCCAAATAATTAGTATAAATTGTTCCCAGTTGCCACGTAAGATCCTTTGTGTTCCTATTGATCATTTCCAATATCTTCTTGTTCATTTCTGATTTGAGATTGCTCTTTTTTAAATCTTTCTAAATTTTTATTAATTTCATTTTTTCAAAAAATCAACTTCTGGCTTTATCATACTTTTAGTTGCCTTTATTTGGAGTCTGTTTTTATTGTTCTTATTTGTTGAGGAGAGAAATATATGCACACAAATACACACACATGCACACACACAAATATACACATGTGTACACACATACATCCACAAACGTTATTTTTAGTTCTTCTCTGTGAATTGAGACAGGTCTGTCTGTACACAGAATTGTAGGAGGGAGAGTAATCCACAGTAATCTACAGGCTCACATGCTGACATTGTTACTGCTATAGATCCTCGGGGTGTGTGTGTGTGTGTGTGTGTGTGTGTGTGTGTGTGTGTGTGTGTGTCTGTCTGTCTGTCTGTTATAAAGGGAATTTATTAGTTTGGCTTACACACTAGAGACAGGGTAGTCCAGTGTCTTCCTGAACGCTAGAGAAACATAGGACCTGATAGCTGTTTAGTCTATGATGCTAGAGGCCTCAGAAGTCCCAGCCAGCATCAAAAGCCCAGGAGGCCCCTGAAGAGTCACTAGTGTTTAGCTTACCTAGATAGAATGAAGAAGCTGGAGTTTGTGTCAGTGGAGGCTGGCGGCAGGAGTGATAAACACACCCATACAGGAGTACATGAAGGCAAGCATTCCTGCTTTTCTCTCAGACCTCTTCTTTTATCAGGACCACATGCTGGTAGGTGCCATTAACCCTGGGGCAAAGCTGATAAGGTTTCATATTCTTGCATATTTGTGCATTATTTGGCATTTTGTTCATAACAGATTAACGAATCCTTTTATCACTACTGTGATCACTATAGTGGTAAACTCCTTCAGTCTTTAGTCCAGAGGAGAACCTTGCCAGGCATTGTATTCCCACTTGGAGTTTTTTCCTTCTAACACTGTAAATGCAGTATTCCAACTCCCTCCTGAAGATTTTGACCAAGAATCGGAAGGCTGTTCCCTTATATATAGTACTTTTGTTCTCTTTTGTTGCTTCAGAATTCTCTTGAGAATTTGATTAATAATGCTGGCTGTGCCATTTTGAATTGATTACCCTAGGGGTATTTCACACTTTCTTTTCTGGGTTTCTCTGTATCTCCTAAGATACAGGATATTTCCAGACACTGCTTTCTGCCTGTTCCTTCTTTCCTCTCCACCTAGAACTCCCATCATTATATATTGAAAGGTATCACTTCAGTCCACCATGATTTATTTACTATTTTGTTTTTCTTTGTTTTCTTGCTTTCCCCCACTAATTGTCTTATTAAAATAACCTGCATTTGACTTCCACAATTTTGTCTTTTGCATGATTAAGTTGGCTGTTTAAACTGTACCTGCAGTGGAAGCCACAGTTGATGGACATCAGAGTTCTAAGGAGTATGCATTCTATTTTATCCTGGATAGAATGTCCAGAACGGAGTTCTATGGGGCTGGTGATAAGGATTTTATACTGTAAACCTGGTACTGGGTTCATAGAATAGGGTGTCTTCCTCTGGGTCTCTAGATGACACTGAGGAAATGCTAGAAAGATTCCTGGGTGGGCCACACTGTTCTGATCTGTGGCTGAGAGGAACTCAAGCCCGGGTGTAGGAGCATCCTAAGAGGCTGCAAGGGCACTGTGGGAGATGTTTTCTCCCACTCTTATGTAGGCAAGCCTTTCTCAGTGCATAGCCACAAAGAACTGGAACTAAGATCCAAATCTTTGAATGACAGAGGAGTGACTATAGGACACTGGCAGACAAGCCTGCCCTAGAGACTTCAGAAACATCTCCCTATAGAACTCTTGCTGGACATAGCTGCCCTAAGACTATAGTTGGGAAGTGCTTACCTGATTACTAGAAACTAAAATCAACAGGCCTGACCCAGTGTCAGAAGTAGGTGGGTCTCTCATGTGCGTTGCTTTGTTCCTGGACCATAGTCTAAAGGGCTTCATGAACACTCAGGAACCATTCAGCATCAGCTATGAGAAAGTCTCAGTATAGTTAGCCATGTCTCCCCCTAGGTCCATATGTTTGTAGGACAGAGCTGGACCCACGGCTGAGGAACTGCACTGAGTAATGGGGAAACTCTCAGACAATCGGACCTTCTTCTATGGCCCTGCTATGAGACTCCTTCCTTGCTGAATAGTATCAGAAACAGGCTCTGGGCCATGTATGGCTGTGACCAAGCCCATTGGGGAGTAACACTGCTTTAAAATTATACTACACAAAACAGAAATTAGTATTCACTGAAAATTTGAGTACAGAATATGTTGATATGAAACTAATGCATAACAATAGCCGGCATGTTCTCAGAGGGTTTTAGCAGAGGACAGAGTAGGCTCAACTCTGTGACACTGTAGCCATGCTGCATTGCAGACTTCTCAGCCTCATGCTGCAACTTTAAGT